AGAGGTTGATGGAGATGTTTTTTCCTGCATCCTTCCATATTTAAGCTTCTGTCTCCCCTATCTTTATTAGAGGAAATTGTTTATGGGATTTAGGGGATGGTTTTCCGGGGAGCTGCTGTGTGATATAAGTAAGAGGCTGCAGGATGGCAGTGCTGGAAGATCTGGAAAGCCAAAATCACAGTATTTTAGCTGGACAGCTGAAGTTATAAGGAAATAAGGAGGAAAATGTAGCTGACTGCCTACCTGTGCTGTACTGTCCATTTTATGTTAAAAGGGAAACCACCTTTTACGTGACTTTCCTTGGAGATGTTTTTTGAACCAATTTCAGTTTAGTGATTGCAAAATCTTGCCTATTTTCTTTGTCTCCCTGGGGAGAAGAGGCAAAATATATACAGTAATATAGAGTAGCTCATCATACAAATGCACATCTGAGGTCTGGCACATGGACAGTCGTGGGGGAAGCAGAGCTGGGCACAAGTCACATTACCAAAGACCTGGAAATTACTGCAATGAAATGAAAATGCAAGAGCAGTCCTTCCCTCCAGGAGACCCTTTCTCTGCTGCCCGTTCCTAAGCAAATGGAGGTGTATGAATATTCGTTCACCACTTCAGATATTTAATTAAAACTTATTTATTCCAGCTTTGCCTCTTGACCACTGGTGCTGGTGTCCAGGCATTGCATGTCTCCTGCTAACAAACCTCATCGCTGGAATTTTTTAATTATAACCAGTAAAATGTTGCTTACTTAAATCCTTGGTAATCAGTTTGTTTTCCTTCAGTTGCTTAGCAATGAAAAAGATGCAAGGGTGGCCTGGGGGCCTTTCCAGCACACCCCTCTGGTTAGAACGGGCTGGAGAAATGCCCCATAAATACAATTATAGGTCAAAACCCCTTTGAATTAAGCATGCATGGAGTGATCCTCCAAGAGGGTTTTTAATGTGTGAGTTCTGGAGAGGTGAGGGATAACTATACAGGTTGATTAATCCAATTAGTTCTTTATAATAAGGTTGAAAATCCAGTCTGGTGGAGAAGTTGCTCTGCAATTAAAGGTAGATTTTGGTGGTGCTGTCTGGGTATAACAGTGCCTGGCAGGGAGGATGGCTGAGCGCTGGAGTGGCAGGCGAGGGGTGAAGTGGTGTATACCCTGAATTTCAGAAGGTGCTTGTGACACTGTGAATGCCATGTGTGTTACTGCAATTACAGCCTAGAAGCGGCTGCCATTTTTAACTTTTCTGGCTGAAATTCCTGGTGTCCCCTGGCTGCTTTCCGTGGCCTGGGCTGCCCTGTGCTGCTGCGCCCAGCTCCTCCTAGGATCATTTTAATATAAAATCATTTAATGAAGGGTGGTCACTGTGCTGGGGAAGGAACATGCTTAGGAGTTTCTCTAAAGCATCACGAGGCTACATTATAGGTAGAGGAAAACCTGGGGTGAAAGGCCATTTTTAACTGCTTTATTAATAATCAAATGTATATGGTGTATACTGAGCATCTTTTGAATCCAGCCTGTTCATCAAGGTGCTTACATGGAACTCAGATGGAAAACGGGACTGGCAAAGACGAGATTACACCACAGTGCTGCTCGAAGTTTTGATTAATTGAGAATTAGGTGAGAGAAGGGTAATTAATGCCAATCAACAGGGATTTGCAGAAAGTAGCCTGGAAGGATTTAACTTTCGCAGTATGACAGGCTGTTTGGTAAAAGTCATGCTACGGAGACACTCAACCCCTGCATGGGGTTTTGAGTTAAAAAGGTAAAAAAACAAGTCTGTAAAACCCCAGTAACTGTTACTGGAATAAAAAAAGCTGGCTGTGTGGCTGAGTTAGGACCATGGGTCTCATCCTGATTCCCCTTAGACACCGGATCAAAGATTTTTTTTTTTTTTCCTTGATCCTGTGCAACATGGCAATTTTTTAATCAATGACTTGGTAGAGAGGTAATGAAGACCAGAGGAGCTGTGTCGGGTGGGTGGTGCTGGAATGTGGCTGTGAGCATCTCGTGGGTGCTGGACCCAGGGGAGATGCTTGGGAAGGGGTTGTTGAACCTCCTGCTCCAAACTGTGCTGCCCTGATGCCTGCAGCTCTTCCAGGAGGAGCTGCAAGTCAAGTGCATGATTATCTCTGTTGGCTTTAGCACCAGGTTTTCTGTGCCTCCCCAGGGACTCTGCAGTGATTTAGGGGATTTGCAGAGCATCCCTCTTTCTGGCATTGTGGTCACTGGATGGTGACGGTAGACTTCTTGCAGAGCAAATGGTGAGCATCTTGTAGACCTCAGCGAGCCAGGTGTGATAGAAGAAAAATTTGGTGCTTGCTGTGGCTCATTGGGATGGTGATCCCCTACTCCTGGTGCTCAGTGGAGGACAGGACCTGGGGAAAGGTCTCCCACCCAGCAGGCCCGTGGCTGGTGTCTCTTGGTGCAGCTCTCTAATGCTGGTGAATATTAAGTTTTGGAGGGGCTTTGCCAGGTTTTGTAGCAAACCCTCCAGTGGAGCACGTGCTTTAAAACCAGGCGTAGACATCCAGAGGGGCAGCCCTGCCTTGTACGCCGTGATTTCATCAGGCTCCGGGCTGCATCCTTGCAGCAGGCAGCAGCCTGTCTGTCCCTCCGCCAGCTCTCACCCTTTGCTAGTGCTGCATCAGAGCAACCAAAGGCGAAGGGCTCCTGTGCTCAACCTGATGCGAGGCTGGAAAGGCACCGCTGCAGAAGGAGATGGGCAGCGAGACCCCAAGTGCTGCCAGCTCCAATTTAAACAGGCACAACTCTCCTCCTGTAACATCTCAGGCTGCTGTGAGATGGTTCATCAGTGATGATGCAGACAGTAATGCACATCCTCTGCGGGTGAAGTCTTGTTGACCCTGGCAGGGAGGTTTGGTTTTGTTGTTTCTTAAAGAGTAGAGGAACAAACTAAAAAAGTTGTTGCACTGCCCAGAGCAAATCCTGGTCTTGCAGCCTACAAGGGGATTGCTCCCCAGCCCAGGAGGGACTGCTTTTCCCCCAAAATTAAGACTGAATTGTTTGTTAGCGCTGTCTCAAAGCACCTGGGGCTCTACCTGGTTTTGCAGAATCTAGTGACTTACTGCAAGAGGGATTTTGCATTTCAGCCCATTGCTGCAGTGAGAGTAAGGCTGCCTGTGCGCCTGAGACCTTGGCGCTGAACCCGTCAGTCTTAATTAAGCCTGCAGTAACAAGCACCGCTGAGATGCCATGGACGAAATGGTAGGGGAGAGGATTGGAAGACGCGAGTTGGCTGTTAGTTACATGTGAGACTATTGATTAGTCCTGGAAATCATGTTTAATTAAAGCCCTCAAGCGTACCCCCAGTATTTCTATCCTGGTGTCGGGGCTCGCCTGCAGCCCTGCTCTGCTCGGTGCTGGTTTTACCTCTGCTGCTGGTGATATGAAGCCAGTGCAATCATGAACTGAAGCCTTTTAAATGCCCCTTCATTAGAAATGCTGCTAATGAGCCAGTGGATAAATGCTGCAGACGCTGCTTGTCCGAGCAACTGAGTACTGCTCAGCTGCTGTGACACTTTATGCAAATCATCATCTGAGTTAATTTGGGCAGGGCAATAAAATTCAGCAAAGAGAAACAGAGCAGATTTAGTGCTGGTGGGAGACGTGGAGCCATCCATCAGCATGACAGCTCTTCGGTGGGGGGACGAAAATAGCCCCGTACCCAGGAGGCATCAGCAAAGCACGTGCTTTGCTAGCTCAAATCCAGCAACCTCTGCAATGCTCTGGGATGAAAAGAGATGCTCCCCAAAATTTAGGAGCTCTGCCTTGATGGTGCATGGTCTGGGTGTGCATTTGTGTGCTTTCCCTGGGTCCGTCTCCGTGCTGATAGCATGAGGAGGATGGGGAATGTGAGGCATGGTGTAGATTATGCTCATCTGCCTTGGCTCAGCTGTTAGGGTTTGTGCATTTTTATCAGCCCTGGGAAACACACAAATTGCTTGCTCTCATGTTGAGGAATTAGAGATGCTTCTGCAGCGTGCCACTGTCTTTCCCTTTGCATTTAATGCTCTCAGCAAGTTAATGTTTGTGTTCTGTAGCTCAAAATGATGTTTTTGTGTTTTTTAACAAGTAAAACACTTTTTTTTTTTGCCCTACCCCTTGAGCATGATATTGGGGTTGCGTGTGTGTCCCTTGCTGTGTGTTGAAATGTTGATTTTTTTTTTTTTTTTTTTTTTTTTTTTTTTTTTTCTTTTTTCCAGCCATGACCTCTTCTTTCAGTCTTTTTGGGTTTTTACAGTGAGAAAGAAGTGGGTCTTTTCCTATTAGAGGTCCTTGCTACAGTTGGATACTCTCTGGCCAGTCTGGGGATGCTGGGCTTTTGCACGGTGTCCCGACATGGGGTACCAGCACTGCAGAAATTGGGCAGTGGAGAGGTGTGTAACACTGGAGCATCCCTGCCTGCTCTGTACCAAGCAGTGAAATCCTCTGCCATCCCCTTCTGACCCTTGTGAGGGTTTGTCAGCCAGTGGTACCCGGCAGCAAATGGAGAAGCCAGCCTGGGGTGAGATGCAGGGGTTAGTAGGTCCTGGAGTCATGACACAGCTTGAGGAGCTCTGACCTAAATATGGGCTTTGCTTGTCTGTCGGGTAGGGGAGAAATCGCTCCTGGGATGAAAATCTCGTTCGGAGGATGGGAAAGGGAGGATTATGGTTTGCCATCTGCCCTGATGTTCAATATTGTAAATAATAATACAAAAGTTAATGATCCACAAGTCCCTTAACAGAGAGGTTTTTGCCCTGCTGCCGAAGCACCTCGCCTGTGCCTTGCTGCGTCACGGGCAAAGCAGACTTTTCTCCTGAGTCACTGCCAAGTGGGGCAGAACGGAATTTAAGGCTGCAAGGCACCCAGGAGAGCCCTGGAGCCATGCCCTCCTGCTGACAGCACCCATTGAGCGGCTCTTCCCAGCACCAACAAGCACGGTGGTTTGCACAGGCACATTTATGATGGCTAAATAACTCCACAGATAGCCACCTGTTAATCACGGGGTATGTGGGATCCTGCTGTGGTAGGCATAATGCCAGTGGATTCACAAAAATACAGCAGTGACCCCAGTTCAGCCCACGACTGTGTACCCAGGGCAAATTAATGAAGAGAAGTTTGTTTGCTTTAGTGCAGATCTGGAAGGGGATGCTGTTAGCATCCATGCACAGTGGCTGCAAGGAGAGTCCTCTGGTTTTTTGCTGCAAGAGTCTCTTTATATTATCTCTGTGGAGTTATCTGTAGTAGTGGTTTAAAAAAAAAATAGGGAAAAGAAATTACGGAAAAAATGACATCCAAACCCTGAATTGTGCTGTCTGGTATGACCTCTTTTAATTTAAGGTAGAGTTTTTATTTTGCTCTTTTTACTTGGGAAAAGCAAAGTTTGGGAAAGCTTTAATTTTACTAATAGATGGCTTGTGAGAGCCGAAGGGTAGTTATTGGACTGTTTCAAAGTAAGCTGCTTAACCATTCACATGCTGTATCTATAAATGTAAATATTCTTGGGGAAGCCAGGACTGAAGCTCGTGCTGTTTTTTCATTCATATGTGTTTTTGTCCTCTTCAGGAACATCCAGTAATACTGGACCATGTTATTTCTTTGAACAATATGAATGAGGTTGGCAATAAGCCCCCTGTAAAGGGGGAAAAGTAGAAGTGTGCTTGCTTTATGAAGAAAAATATACAGATATTTGTCCCAACCTCCACCTTGTTCTTAGTTGACGTTTGTGTGTTCACCTTTGATTTTTCAAAGGTGCATGTCACTGTCTGTGGTTTCTGCTAAAGTCTTTTTGTAAGTTTTTCTTAAGCTGTGTGGAAGAACCTTGGATATTTGATACTATATCTTAATCTTCATTACTGAATTCCTAGTTGTTAGGTGGTTCATGCTATTGTATTGGGGGTATTGTGGGTTTTCTGCCGTGCCTTCCCTCTGGCTGCAGTCCCATTGGAAGGATGCCCCTGGAGAAGTGCTCTTGACCCAGGAGCAATGAAAACTTCCCGGGGTCAGCTGTGAGTATTGCCATTTCTGAAATAGCTTGGGGGATTAAAAACCAGTAATAATAAAGATGGATTTGCTTACTTCCAGCTTGCCATGAAGACTGTTGCAACCACCAAACAGCCCAGACTAAACTAATATAGCTAATTTTTAAGCATTTTTTTTTCTTAATTTAATGGAAAAATTATACTCTTAAATTAATGAAAGATTGTACTCTGTCCACGCTGTCGGTGTAACTCCTGTGCAGACCAGCATCGCTTCTCGCTGTGCTGGAGCATCCACTGAATACATCACCCGGAGTTCGCTGGGAGAGCCTTTGGCTGGCATCGAGGGCTTTCAAACAGCAAAACAAAACCTGCCTCTTCTAATTTAATGTTGGTTTTAATCTGCATCTGTAGCAGCAGCCTGCTAAAATCTAAATCAAATCAGAAGGTGGGGATTGAATTTATTAAGCTTCTGCTTAAGCTGGGTGGAATAATGCAAGAAGCTTCGAGAGCATTGAATCACTTTGGTTTTATTGAGAGTCTGGTTTAAAAAACAAAACAGATTTTTTTAGTTGTTTTTCTTGAGAGGCTGAGCGTGCGGAGCTATTTCCGATTAATGCTAACACATCATTCAAAGGTGTCCTTGAGGATTAAAGAAATGCTTTTCTTTCTGTCCTCCTGGATGGAGACACTGGAATGTTGGGAGGTTAAGTGATCTGCCCAGGGTTGTGTCTCCTGACCCTGATGTCAGGCTAATCCTCTGCTTTGAGAGGGACCCACCTGCCCTTTCCCTTTATAACAAGCTCCTCCAGAAGATCAAGAGGTTGTTAAAGCTAACAAAGTCAGGACATGTCATATAAAGTGGAATGCTAGAGGTGAGATTATGGATGTAGAGGTTCACAGAGATGCTGTCTTTCTGCCCGGGTGGGTACCTGCTTGGGGGCATGGTTTTGGTGACCTAGTGGCTCTCATCTATATGAATTTAATTGGCAAACGTGTGGCATATGAACCTGCTTTGGAGGAAGCCGGTTGCAGAAGTTGGAGGCAGGGAAGGCAGGCAACATGAGCGTGGTGCTCCAACGTGCCCCCACCATGGGCTGCCTCCAAGCCTCGTCAGGTTTTAATTAAAGCTCGCCTTGTAAAGATCTAAGAATGACAAAGTGCTTTTATTTCAGCGCTGTATGGTTTGACATATTTGGGATTTATGGATGAAAAGGAAGATTTGGATGTGGGTTTATGTAGCAGCCTGCCCTGCCTGGAGGGTGTTTGTCTCTGCTGGACCACGGGAAGGAGGGGAGGATGGTGAAAATACACAAGAAAAAAAAATGGTGGTCCCTTTTTGGATGTGTGTGTACATGCACGCATGAGAAGACAGCATTATAGATGCTTGGGGAAATACATTCATAGCAGCCTATTCTAACAGCCCGCAGCTATTTAGCAGGACGGGAAGCACTTGGTGCGGGGAGTGCTTGTGCTGGAGCAGCAATCACATTTGGGATCTCCCAGCTGGGGAATGAGTTACCCCCAGGGCTTCTGAGACCTTGCAGACACCTATGTCTTCTTGCCTTCTGTATTGCATGGTCCTTTGCATGTGTGTGTATACACAGAGTCTTGGAAAATCAGGGTTTTTTTAATTAAAAATCTGTAGTTTTTTGGGTGGCTGATGGGAAGTCTTTCACCACCAGGTTCTAAGTCCATCCCTGGGCGGTGGATGCTGAGAGCTGCTGCCCTCCAGCAGCGCTTCAGTGGTGCAGAGCCTCACATCTCGCTCAGGTGTTGGGTGGCTTCTGGCCATGGTTGACGATGAATTGCTGAGAGGGGCTGCTGTGACCTCTTACTGCTACTGGAGGTGGACTCAAATTTCATCCACCAAAGCGTGCACAAGCACCACTGTGGTTTTTGGGTTTCTTTGGGGTCAACGTGCCCCTCTCTGCATCCATCTGTCCAGGCAGGTCCATGGCTCAGCCCAGCCCCATGTGCAGGTGGAGAGTTTGCAGGACTCCAGCCAAGACCAGCAACATCTTGTTTTTGAGGCTGCCTTGAGCCAGGTACATCCTGATCCCCGGCTATTTCGGGCATTTCTAGAGCATGTTTGATCTCTCCTCTGCCAGGAGAGAGCTGGCACTGGATGAAACTGTGGCAGTGGGGATAAAAAGGCAGGCAAGGCGCTTTGTGGGGGTGGCAAGAGCCGCAGCAATGGTCTGTAAAGCTCTTCCCGTAGTGTTGGAGCCTGGAGAAACTGGGGCGAGGTGTGGGGATGAGGAAGGCTGAGTGATGCATCGCCATCTCGCCAGCTGCACCTACTCCTTCTTTCATGGTCCAGCCAAAGATGGGGTTCCTGGCCATGCTGCAGGGATGTTTCATCTCTTGCAATGCTGCTTGCTGGAGGGGACAGGGGAGATTGGGCTGGGGGTCCCGAACCGGCCCCTTCCTCATGGCAGGGAAAGCATTGAAGGCTTGTGAGGTGCTAGAGGTGGTGTGCTGAGAGAAGTTTATTTATTTATTTATTTATTTTCCGCTCCCTGATAAAAACTGCTTTTCTGGCAGTACATTTGTGTAGCTCCATTAACATCTAAAGGCTCCCACTGCTGTAGCTATTGAGCAGCTCTAAAAATAATTACAGGCGATACATACAAAAATCTATGGCTCTTGAGCTGCAGAGCAGGCTGTTAGATGGCTGCTGCTGCTGCTTTAACTCTTGGGTCACTATGAGCATTATTTGGCTATTGTGTGCTGGAGATTTGGTTTTAAGATGAGGGCTAAAAACGTCTTTGGTGCTACAGTGCTGGTGTTGCTTCGGTTTGCTGGGATTTCCCCCCAGCCCCTTGTGTTTGTGTAAGAATAAGTTTTATATAGCTCTTATTTCAATCAACAGGAAGAGTTAAGGGAGACATGACCCCAAAAATGCCAATAAATAAGTGATCGTTGAAGGGTTCCTGTTGACTCTGTTGGCTGGCAGAGTCCAGCATCAGGCTAGCTTTATGGGTCCATGTCCAGCAACAAAAGCTTGACTCAAGGTGACTCCCTGCAGAGATGGAGCAATTTTGGATTCTTCATTCTCAGGACCTTGCCCTGGAAGCCCCATGAGCAGGGAAACTGGTACCTTCTCTGGCAAAACGTAGAGGGTGAGGGAAACCTGTGTATGGAGGTTGCAGTGTTACTGGCAATGCGTTTGTCCCAACTCCTGAGAGCAAGTACTGGAGGTCTCAGCACAGCAACAGTTACTTGTTTGGCACAGGGGATGCTTTTACGCAGCCTGGGCAGAGTATTTATCTCTGCATCATAAAAGCAAATTAAATCTCATTAGCAAGAGGTGTTGTGGCTCTGAGTAACGCCATAATCTCATTATGCGTGAGCAGTGCTACTTGCTCTTGGATTTTGTCCCTTTATGGACGTTGCCTGGGCTGTGCAGGTCCATTTTGGGGATTTTCTCTCAAAGGTTTAAGGGTGGCCTGAACTTTGGAGATGCTACAAAGGTTAAATGTTGCATCTAAATGTTTTTCTGGAACCTTGAAGCCTGTTTGCAGGTTTGCTTCTAAGTGAAGAAGTTGGCTTTGGTGTCTTCTGTTGCCATCTTAGCACCATGGCAGTGGGTTTGGGTTAAGGCTTGCTCTGTGGGGAGCAATCTATCGTTGTTTTGTGCAAAAGAAGTATGCTTTGGTGTACAGTCTGCTGGGGGGGGCGGAATTCCGTTATTTCATAAAAGCTTCTAGAAGGCTGGGTTTTTTTTCCCCAGGAAAATTAAATTTCACATTTACCTTGAGTCTGTACTCCACTTGGTTAGATTGATAACAAGTCGGTGTACACCTTATCCAGGAGAAGCCTGATTGAAAGTCTGATTGAAAATCAGAGTTCTAGTCTATAATTTACCCCAAAATCTAAAATTAGAATATTTTTGGGGGGGGACACGGATGACACAGGACTGAAATAAATGGTTTAGCTGCACTGACTTTACAATGAGTGTGAGATTGTATCCATGGTGAATTAATTTATTTATGATTTAATTTCCTGAGGTTTCTGTGTGTTTAAGTTTTTTCTTTCCTTTTTTTTTTTTCTTTTCCACTCTCCAGTATACTAGGGTTTGGATTCCTGACCCTGATGAAGTTTGGAGATCAGCAGAAATTATCAAGGATTACAAAGAGGGAGATAAAAGCCTCCATCTGAAACTTGAAGATGAAACTGTAAGCTTTTGAATGTCGTTATTCTTTTCAGTAATTTAAAGTTTTGAATTAATGTGTGAAGAAGACTGAGCCATTTCGTACTTTTTAAGGAAGTATTTTAAAATGTGTTTTATGGCCTTAGCACTTCCAGTTTTTCCCTGCCTGCTCACTCCCCAAATACTTGTGTTAAAGTAGGTTGAGAGAAAAGCCCTTGACCCCTCTCATCTCTTTTCATTCTCTGGCAAAGTTGTAATAGTCTGTGATATCAGAATGAGGTTGGTTTTTTTTTTTTTTTTTTTTTATAGCAGCAGTATGTTAGAAATATCAGTTTATGGTTTTTTGCTGCTGAACAAATTGGAAAGAGCGCGGCTGGTGGCATCTACTCAATCTTGGGTACCGATGGAAAAATCACACAGAGTGCAGAAGTGACTGCTGTGCAACAGCTTTCTCCGTGCCTTAGTTTTTCTCTTTAAGTGTAATCTTACGTAAATCCCTTTTTTCCTCTGTGTTTTTAAAAAAACAAAAAAAGCTCTAAAAGACAAAAATGAGAAACTCCTTTAAATGTAGATGTTTTTTAGCAAGTGCTGCTTTCAAATGCACGAACAGTCCAGGCTCACGGCATGTGTGCAGGCAGTGATAAATCATTCCCAAAGCAGGACAGAGGCTGGGGAAGAGCAGCTGCTTTCTGTCCTGCACAAAAAGCTCATGGGGTGGGACATTGGGTAACAGTGGGGGATTGCAGATGAAGTTAACAGTGGCATTTACATCAGCTGCAAAATTTGGGTGGTTTATGGGAAGGGAGCAGCCATGCTACGTACCCGCCCCGAGGTGTGTTTCCCATGTGTGGTGCCTGGTGTAGCAGGAAGAATAGATACATTTTTCATGAAGAATTCCACCTAAACTAGCTTTCTTCACTGAGCAGGTAGGGTTTCCTTGATTGTCTAGAGGGTGATCTGCTCTGTTGCTTAGAAGAATTAATAGAGGCCACTTTCTCCAAATTGAAAATGCTCTGAGGAGGGTGAGTAATTCACGTCCCCTGCCAGCCAACCATTTCTATACTGCAGGGAATATTTTCACCATATTACTTAATGGGAAGATGGAGAACAGGAATGAGACACGCTTGATTAGGCTGTTCATCAAAACAATTCTTCTTTCAGAGCACTGCAAGCACGGGCCGTTTGCAGTATGTGAATGTGCCAGGTTTGCAAACAAAGTCATTTGCGTTCAAATCTGCACCCAGTGCCTGGTGCTGTTGGCTTTTCCTGGGTCAGCCCCGGCTGCGTTTGTTGTCCTCCCCAATTTGCTTTTCCAGCACAGGGCAGCTTTCTGAGGAGGATAAAGGATGGATGATGCTCCTCTTCGAGCTGAGATGCTTTTTTCCCCTCCATGGTGATAAATCTGGGTGAGGAGATGCCACCTCACTGTCCCTTGGAAGCACCAGGCATGTTTGTGTAGGACCATGAGTCACTCTGTCCTTTGCTGCTTGGTGGGCTCCCTGCCCCATAGCCCTGTAGTTGGACCTTCTGGACTTACCATCCTGTGTCTATTAGTCTCTATTCCAAGTCATACCAATCGTCCTTTGAACATATCTTTTTCTCTAATGACATGATGCTTTGTGCTCATGGTGCGAGCATGATGCTCATGTCGGGCGCGTTTCCACCATTCCAGTCATTCCATGCAGCAATTTGTCCCTGCCTCCCAGGGGCATCGGATACCACAAGGATTACCCTCGTTGCAGGTTTTTTACGTGCTTTCTCTTTTGCTCCTGAGGCGAGAAGGTAGAAACCTTGGAGAAACCAAGCAGCAATGCTCAAGCCTTTGCCAGAAACTGGTGATGGGTGTGAAAAGCACTACAGGCTTCAGTTCTGGGGCAGGTTTTGTGAGCGGTGCTATTGGGTGCCCAGCAGAGATGGGTGCCTGGGTGCAGGTGGGTGCCCACCTCATCCACAGTAGCACCTTCCTCACGCTTGTTGTGCTCAGGCTGCCAAAATACATTTGTATGTATTGCTGAGTGCTGCAACCTCCGTCCTATTCTGGTTGAGATCTTCAGCAGTTTTAGTACTTGGGGGAGTGTGGGGGGTGGGGAGACTTTTTTTTTCTCCCTCTTTAATCTGGATATTTCCCTGGAAACCAAAGGGGCTAATAAGTCCTGCAAGGTCTAGCCTTTTTGTACAGCTGAGTTTAGGGTCAGCAACATTAAAGTACAAGGAGATTAAAGGATTACTAGGTGTTGTAGATGGTATCTTAACAAGCGTGTCCCTGTCATGGTGAAACACAGGAACATCTCATTTTGGGGTTGTGCAAGAGGCTGCTCCTTAGTGTGGGTGCTCCCAGAGACCCCTCTTTCATGCTCTTCTGTATGAAACCCTGCCTGGACCCAAGTCGCATTGGGCTGAAAAGCTTTAGTGAAGGGGAACAGCGCACATGTGCGTCAGACGGAGATACTGAGCATTCGTATCTTTGGGGGTTTCGAAGCTGTTGAAAGCCTTTTGTTCCTGACAGCCAACATGCATTACCCAACTGTTTAGTGCTTCTCTTTTGTCCTTGTGCTTTAAGTGATTTTTCATGGATTTTGTAGTTTCTGGCTGTACTCTGTATGCAAGAGTACTCCCTCTGAATGAAGAGCTGATTTTTAAATATCACAAGGGATCCCTGGTGTGTTTGCCATTAAGATGTGAGACTGAGTTCAAACTCTTGAAAATTGGCATTGGCAATGTGGAATTAGAGTACAAAACAAGCCTGAGGTTGTCAGATGTGCTGTGTAAGCCTGTCCTTGTGCACTTGGGTCAGCTTTTCTTGTGCTGTTTGCACAGGCAGCGATCCAGTGCCAATGCAATGGTAGTGATGCCCTTTTGTTTGCAAACTGGGATTCCTTGCTTCTGCTGGGAGCTGAGCATTGTGGACCCCTTCCTGAGATGCCCTGTGGGAAGCAACATCACAGGCAACTTTTTTTCCTCCACTGCAAAGGAAAAAAATTACACTTTTTCTTTAGTTGGTGGCCCTGCTGCTCATTTGGGGATGAGTCAAAAATAGTTAGCATATGGGCAGCCATATGCTTCAACGGCATAACCTGGCTCTTCAGATATTGAAGCAGCAGGGGCTCTGTACTTCTCCATGGCCTTCTCTGCCTGAAGGGGTGTAAGTTTTGAGTATAAAAGTAACTTGAATTAAAAATGAGTTGAGAAATGACGGATGGGAAGAATATAGTCTAGTTTGAAATGAGGCTGCTCTTCAAAGAGCATGAAGATGCTTAGATCAGATGAAGCTGTGGTTTTCTATATGGTACCTGTTACTGCTTGGAGCTGGCTAAAGGCTATTTGCCACCAAGGCTGGCCTGAAAACAACTTGGGTATGCTCAGGTTGGTGCTTGTGGACCACCAGTGTTCCTCAGGACCAGCTGTTGACCAGCTCAAAGCCATTTACCAAAGGGGTGACCTGTCACCTGGTAGTGTGTCATCCAGGTTCCTGTAGCATTTAACATAAAGGGGCTTTCGTTCAGAGCAGGATGCGTAAGTATTTTATAGTATCAGGATGGAGATATGCTTGGATAAGTTATAAGACATTAAAGGAGCTGTTGTTTTCTGTGTTCTCGTGTTCCTTGTGCGCGTCTCTTCAGCTCTACGAATATCCTGTTGATCTCCAAGGAAATGAGCTGCCTTTCCTGCGCAATCCAGATATCCTGGTGGGAGAGAATGACCTGACAGCCCTGAGCTACCTGCACGAGCCCGCGGTCCTCCACAACCTCAAAGTCAGGTTCCTCGAGTCCAACCACATCTACACATACTGTGGTGAGTGTCCAGGCCACATGTTCAGCTCCTGGAGAGCGGTGGGTTAGAGCATGTTCACACAGAAACACCCTGAGACCACAAGCCAGAGGCTGTGGCATGAGGGGAAGGTCCAGGGCTTGTGAATTTGGAGCGGGTGGGAGACGCAAGTGTGTGCCAACAAGCTTTAGGTTGCAAAACCAGAGGTGGTTTTTGAGGGTTGGTGCACTGTGAACTTCCTGAGCTCATGGTCTATGTATGTAACTCTTGGTGGAAATGTCTTGTCAGATGAGTTTGAGGCCAACTTTGTTTGTGCTTGGCAGTCTATGCGGAAAAAAGTAGGAGCTAGCAAACCACTGGGGAACAGCAGCGTGCCAGAAAGATGCGATCCAACTGAGAAATGTCCATAGCGGGTTTTCCTGTTGAAAGACCGCAAGAAAAGCCTTGCAGCACTGTTTCCTGCCTTTTCTTGATGACTTTGGGGGTCATCGAACTCGTAAATTCAAAGCAGAAGGATGGCAGGTGTGAACTTGGGTTTGTCATTCCCAGGAATTGTGGCCTGCCAAAACCATTCAAGACAGCAGTTACCTGTGAATGGATGACAACAAACTACAACCTAAAAACAAAGGAAGAAGGCAATTCAGCCATTTTTATTCAGTTGTGCTGGAGAATATTGAATGTTGAACCATCTTGCTGGCACTCAAGATGACCTTGCTAGCAGTGATGCAGACTAGCGATTCTCCAAGTGATGAGTCACAAGATTTTGGCGAAATGCAGGGGACTGTTTGTGTGGCAGGGTTAAGGCTGATATGTACAGCTACGATTAAGCGTTGCAACTTTTGCTGAGGAAATGGTTGGCAGGAGGAGACTCTTCTTTAGAGTAACACCCTTGAAATATGTGGCCTTAGCAGCTGGTAATAGTGGTGACTTTTTCTTTAAATATTTTAATGATGTGTAATGTGAGACTACTGGCATAACTTGCAGCCTTTTGCAGCTGCATGTGTGCTCCCAGTCAGCTGCAAGCCTGCTCTCATCCAAAATCAGTGAGGTTTCATTAGTGCAGTGTCTCATGAAGGTTTATGATAATCTTGAGCACAGCATCGTGCTAGTGAAGATACATGGGTTTAGGCTTAGCAGGTGTAGGTTTAGCTACAAAACAATGCATGGGTGCAACGTACCTTGTGCTTTGGTTATAAAGTATTTGAGAAGGGGAGAAAAGTACTTATTTGGCAGCCAGTGCTGAGGCAACTACAGCCCTTCAGCTTGGTTTGCATCGTGGCTGTGGGCATGTTTTTGGCAACTAAGGTAAAAAGATGCGTGACCCTAACAGAACCAAGAAGCAAACAGATAGGAGCAGGGCATGGTGAGGTGAAGCTGTTGGGTTAATATCCCACAGAGGCAGGTAACGTGACTTAGCTGGCCTTTGCCTTTCGTTGCGGGTCAAGTCATGTACGCTGGCGTTTGCTGCAGGCTGAGAGTTCCTGTGCTTTGCTGTAATTTGAGTGTGCCCGAGCCCTGAATCGGCTGGGCTGGGAGCACAGCACCCACTCCCACCATCCACGTGCTCTGTGGAGCTCCTTACAATAACAATTTAAACCTGCAAAACCTGAAGGTACTTTGGAGGTGGAATTTGTCAGTGCTTCAGTTTTGCAGGGGGCAGACCAGCTCCCTCGAGCACACAGGTAGCACCACACGTGGCTTTGCCTCTTGTTAATTCCTGGGCTCACTGCCTCCTGTGGGCAGGCACGGCATTCCTAGAGTTGGAGAGGAAAGAGATATTAAAGCTTTAATGCAGACTCTGGCATTCCTTGCCTGTGATTTATGCATTTCATTCTGATTTGAGTACCTTCTTTGTTATGAGCTTTAACTTAGAATTTAAGCCAGGGAAAAATCCGGGATACTTGTTTGGGTCTAGCAGAGCTTTGGTTGCATAGGAGTTGTTTTTCTGAAGTGATGGCTCAGGAACTGTTTAGCTCTTCTCACTCCTCCTGCAAATTCTGGCTTCACACAGTGAAGATTATATATTTACTTTTCTCACCAGTTTAGTGTGCCTGTAGCTGTATGGGAGCTTATTGCCTTGCTATCAAAGCATAGCGCTTTGAAGGAGATGCTGAGATAAGAATTAGGAGTCCTTCTCCATTCCCTTCTCATCCTTTTTTTTCCCTCCAAGCATCATGTTTAAAAAAATTGATCAAAACAACTAATGCAAGCCCTGAAAAGCCTGAAGTATTAACTCTGTGCTTGGTGTGTAACGTATCTGTCTATTTATCTGTTCTAAGGTATTGTACTTGTTGCCATCAATCCATATGAGCAGCTGCCAATCTACGAACAAGATGTCATCTATGCGTACAGTGGCCAAAACATGGGGGATATGGATCCTCACATCTTTGCGGTGGCAGAGGAAGCCTATAAGCAAATGGCCAGGTGAGTGGGTGCTCAGTCAATGGGGTCGGATCTAACTGTCATATCAAAAGCAGGCAAATATGCAATTAAATATTGCAAATACACAACTGGAAGTGAAGTTGTGGAAGAGAGTGTGAAAATTCCAGATTTTCCTCTCTGCTGAGAATATGGGGTCTTCTGTCATGCTTTTATATCCCCATGTTGGTATGAAATCTCCCCATCATGGTGGTCATCTTCACCAGTGGGTGCTGTAGCTCTGCCCTCTTCTGTGAGATGCAAGACTTGGTTCCTGCAGCAGCCTCCCTTGCACGGTGCAGAACTTCTTCATACTGAAATCTCTTTGAGGTCAGGTATTTCTAATTAATTCTGCTCACTGACTTGACCCTGTTATTGGCTGCCAAGACTGCTGGGCAGACTGGGCTGATGGGGATCTCTGTGGTCCTCAGGAACTCACGGGTTTGGTGCAACTGTGGTTCAGATGGAGATCCTTCTCCTGTTGCTGCTTGGATGAGTTTCCTGGAAGAAATTCAAACCACTCTGCAAATGTCATGTTTAATAGCTCGGAGGAAACCACACTTCAGATAATTTGGTGAGATAATCAGGCTAAACTCAGAAGCTGATGTTAGTCGTCTTTATGGAGACGCTGTGATTTTGAGTTAGGAGGTGACCGGCAGATATTTGGAGGTATTTATGGGTCCTTCAAAGCAGTGTCTTTGCCAGATGAACGTGGTATGAGTTTTACTTTATTTCTGTGTGTGTTGTGTTGCTGAAGACGCAGGATTTTGTTCTTACCAGATAAGCCATGACCTAAAAGAGATCTTGAGAGGAAGCCGAAAGTTGTTGTACTGGGGATCATTTTATTATAGTTGTCTGGGCTTGCACAGTGTGTTTAGATTTGCTTGTGGATTAGCTGTGATTTTTATACAGCCCTGGCTTTTAATAGCAAGAGTAAGCACTGAACCATTTACCAAGGGTTGCAGTCTGTTTTCTGCTGTGTCTTGGCTTTAAGTAGTGAGTGAGGATGTGTTTCTAATCGAAGATGAGACAGATTTCAGTCCAGAAATGCATCTGGAGGAGCACTGCCATGGATGGAGATCAGATGGATTGTACCCAAACTGACTCCAGCCTGCAATTCAGACCTCCTGCAAGTGCTTGTGCTTTGGGCAAAACCCCTTTGAGAAGAATTTAGAAATTTGGGGAGCTGCCTTGAGAAAGAGGAAGGCTTAGGACTGTGTCCTTGTACGTGAATCCAGGCCTGAGCAGCAAGCTGCACCGTTCTTTTTAGAAGATGTCAGGGTTTTGCTGACCAATGTGGACAGGACCATGGATTTTCCTGGGCACACATCTAAAATATAAGGCAATGACTTGCTTTTCTCCTGAAGTCTGTGCTGGGAGGACTTGGTGCTTTCCCACATCCTTGCATATTTTTTGCAGGCAGTGGGCTAACTGACAGCTCTAGCCAGGGATGCTCGACTCTGTGCTTTCCCCCTTATCAGGGTAAATCTCCTTTTGACAGCTACCCATCTAATTTATAACTGCTGGCTGTGGATGGTAGGGAGTGCTCGGTTTGCTGGGGGACATGGAAATAGCCACCTTCAAAGCTCTTAAACGAGATGCTCACTGTTCAGCGCTGCTCTGGTACTTTCTGTCTTGGGCTGGTATTATGGTAATTGCAGGCTTTGGTACAAAAGAGGGATTCAAATGGGGCTGAGAGGAGATTGTAACATGGATTATAGGAATCCGCCTGGTTATTTGAAATGTGCCTTAAAATGTAGCACACCATATTTTAAATCTGAAAGCTTCTGGGTGGACATTGTGTTCTCCGCAGTTTGATCTGGGCTTTTCCCTCCGCAGTGCTGCAGGGAGAGTGGTGAAGCTCCTTAAGCAGGGTGTGTGGATGGTGTCTTATGTGTGATGGATGGTAGTGCGTTAGACAAAACTTCTTTTTGGCTTTTTTTTTTTTTTTTAAACTGAATTACTGACTCTGTGAGATACCTTGTATCTGCAGCTCTGCTTTAGGCAATGGGGGTGCACATGAGTGTGGTGGGACATGGGTACTTGGGTAGCTCAGCCATCAGGATGGAGGTCTGTGAGCGTGTTAAACCTAAACCGGTGTGGAAAACCACCACTCTTCTTGCAGTGTCTTAGCTTTTAAAAGATTGCATTATGTCTGGTGCATCCTATAGACCAGGAATAAAACTCAAACCTGCAATCTCAGAAGGTCAAATCTGCAATGTGACTGAGAACAGGAAACCACTCTCTGGCTAGCCTTCTGGGTTTCTTTATTTATCTATGTAAGTGTGTGCTTGTGTATGTATATGTATATATAGGCTTATATATTTTTTAAAACAATGGAATTATTCATTCTGAAACCAAATTAAGTGCAAATCACATCATAGAAAAGTGAGAATAATAATGCAGATGTGCATTCTGTTTGAATTTCTCTGGTTTTCTCTCAACAAGAGTGTCCTCAATGTAACTAAGAAAATGAAATGGGTAAAACAAGCTTTCTCTGTGGAAGACTGCTTGGAAACAGCTGATGTTATCTGCAACATCACTGAGCAAAAAGGTGCTGAGTACATAACTTGCTGGAGCCACTGAGCAGTCGTTGCTGTGTGAGTTTGTCCATGTTCGGTGGAGCTTCATCGCCCAAGTTTCGTGATGAGTGGTTTCATTTTCCTGCTTTTATATGTGTCCATGGGATAATATTCGTGCCATTTGTGTGGCAGAGCAGAACTTTACTAGCTGACTCTCAGTAAACTGCTTCCTTGAGATTGGACACTGCACTGGGGTAATAAACCCTTCAAAAAAAAGCATTGCTGACATGGGGCTTGAGACTTTTTTGGGGCTACAGGCAAATAGTGCAAACTTTGAGCAAGAGTGTGAGTGAGCTGATGGTGCTAGCTTTTCCCTTGCTGCGGGGTTTCAAGTTGCAGCGGTCCTCTGAGGGCAAACTTTTTATCCTTTTCATGAAGACCTGGATGAGGAAGGCTGCAAGGTGCGTCATGTTTTTATAGGACAAAGAGAGTAAGGACATAATCAGGAAACATGAAGTCACCTTGAATAGCTCTTCTCCAGTGCAGAAGGCAAGGTCATATATAGATATTAAAAAAAATATAAAAAATATAATAAATTTACACACATATACAATATATTTAATATAAAATGCATAATATATGCATGTAATAAATATGTATATGTATATTTTAACTTTATTAGTGGCCCAGAGCACACTGGGAAGACTGGAAGTGGAGGTGACTGAATGGGATTGAGTAGATAGCAAGGAAAAAGGGCACAAAATGTAAGATTTCTCTGTTAAATGAGAAAAGTTGGAGGCAACTAGATTTTTAATTCTCTGGGCTTCTAGTATACCGTTGCCATGTAGAGACAGGGTTCCAGGCAGAACTTAAGACATTTGCTGGTGTACAAGTGTTAGTGATGTTGTCCTGTGCTTTCTCACTTGCCTCAAGCCAATAGAGTCCATGAGATGGGACTGGAGGCATCTTCACAGGTGGCTGTAAAGCTCTGCTGGATCCTGTGTCCGGTGTTGTCCTGTCATCAGGAAATGCCAATTTAAAAGGAAAAAAAGTTGTGGGTGGGCTGGACAAGGGGCTGCAGAAGGTGAATAACAATATCCGATGCCTTTTTTTGGGGACAAAATAGTTCACAAAGCATCTGAATATCTACTATGATTTGGGCGTGCATTAAAACTCCCCTTTAAATGAAAGCTTTTCCCAAAGAGGATGCTTTGCAGACAGTTCTTTGCAGCACTTGCATGTAAAACAGCTTAAAAAAAGGCAAGTGATTAAAATTCGTATGTGACAGCCTCTAATTTTTACAGTGACCAGCTCTTTAGAAACTCCCTGCATACCCAGTGCGAGACTAAGCACACTTGGTTCATTGAAACAATATTGTTTTAGGCAAAACACACAGCATGGAGTTAATTCGCTCCAAGTGCTGCTACTGGCAGCGGTGGAGTCAAGTGTTGGGGTTGGTGGAAGGATGGATTGTTTAGTGATTGCTGAGGCTGTGGGGTTCGAAGCAATTTGTGCTTTGGGACACACATTATCTGCAGGGCAATGCAACCATGTCCTCCTCTGGTCTTGGTGTCCGTCCTCCTGATAGTACCTGGCGAGGTGTGTGGGGTGTTGGTGCCTTTTACACCTTTGGGTGTTGCAGAAGGCATTTGCGCTCCTGAAAGCGGACTGAAAGCTTTGGGGGAACATCCAGGATCGCCTGGAGAGCCAGCACAGCCGCCGGTGCCCTGGCTGATTGCTTCTTGCTTTTCTTATAGAGGAACAAAAGATCCCTTGTGTGCCCAAATCCCAGCGGTAGCTCTAATTTCCTTGTGTGTCATTGCTCTGGGCAGAAGCCTGGAGTCTAGCAAAAATTCCCCTTGAAACTTTATATCTGCTGAAGTCAGCCCAACCAGCAGCTTTCCACACAGGAGCAGGGATTGTTTCTCACTTCTCACCCTAACCCATGTTCCTCTTGATGAATATGCACCATCAGTTGTTTCCAGCTCCGTGGAGGTGGCCGAATTTTGCACAGTGACAGTGCAACACCAGCTTCCCATTCCCAGCCTTTGGGAGCTGTAGTTAGATATTAGTTAGATAGTTAGCTATTTCCCTTTGTGTCTCCAGCCCCATTTTTCTTCTCCCCAGCTATCCTTGACCAGCTCAGCTTGACGGTGCAGTCACTGTGTGGTCTCCAGATGCTGAATTGAGTCTATTAGGAAAATCACTGCAGTGTGCTACAGTAACGAATATATTTGTGTGGTTTTTCTGTCTTTGGCCCCTGTCTCTTCTTCCTTTTGTATGGGTTGGGTTCACTCTGGGCACAGGACAGGACTTGCTAGTCCAAGTAACGTTTCTTAATGGCTTTTTTTTAAAAAAAAAAAAGAATCATGCATCATACTTAATAAAATGGAATATTGAACAGCCCTAGGTGATAGAGGTATGTGGTATGAATAGCATTGCTGTGGGCAATGGGGCAGGAGAATGGGCCCTCCAAAGGTTGTC